AGCTGCTCCAGAAACCCGCCGCATGCCCCTGAATGATGACCCCCTCCGCCTCCTAGAGAATGGCCACCAGCCTGACCTTTACAGTATCTATAGCCTCTCTCTTTGCTTTAAAGTTCTGTCAGTTAAGTGTTTGTCCCTACACACTATAGTTTAGTCTTCCTTTTTCTTTCTTTTCTTTTCTTTTTTTTTTAAGTGGCTGTATGCTTTAAGTCTTTATAGACTTCCCCCTCTGTTTCTTTTTTCTGTCCCCTTGGCAATTTACTTGGGGAGGAAACCAGATGGGCGTTTTGTGGAGTTTCCCAGGCAGGGTTTGCTGATTGCCTCGTGGGGGTCATTGTCACCTCTCTGCCTCTTTGTATTTCCTGTAAAGTTGACTGTGGGGCCCTGAGCAGATGCAGGCTCAGCTTTGTGCTGGGCGCCGTGCACCTGTCTCTCTTTTTCTGGCGTGGGTGCCTCCATCTTTCTGAGGGGTCTCAAGTGCTAAAATTCTAGTCTGTTCCTCTTCACCAATTCATTGCAATACTTCTGTCGAGAGACTTGCCTTCCTTTACTGTTATTAACTCACGGATTAAATTTTTTTTTTTAATGTTTATTTATTTTTGAAGGAGAGAGAGACAGAGTGTGAGTGGGGGAGGGGCAGAGAGAGAGAGAGAGAGAGAGAGAGAGACAGAATCCGAAGCAGGCTCCAAGCTCCCAGCTGTCAGCACAGAGCCCGACATGGGGCTCGAACCCATGAACCAAACCGCGAGATCATGACCTGAGCCGAAGTCGGATGCTTAACCGACTGAGCCACCCAGGCGCCCCACAGATTAAATATCTTGATGAGTTGTGATCTACAGCAGTGAGTACCCTTGCTGGTGCTCAAATTATGCCGTGTATTGTTTTTATTATTCTTCTAAAAAATCTTTTATTTTGGGGGCACCTGGGTGACTCAGTAGGTCAAGCGTCCGACTCTTGATTTTGGCTCAGATCGTGATCTCACGGTTGGGAATTTGAGCCCTGCATGGGGCTCTGCGCTGACGATGCGGAGCCTGCTTGGGATTCTTTCTCTCCCTCTCTCTCTCTCTCTGCCCCTCCCCTGCTCAGGCTCTCTCCATCTCTCAAAACTAAAAAAAAAATAAACATTAAAAAAACCCACACATCATTGTTTAAGGAAAGGTTTTATTTCTGGGGGGCCAGCTTCAAGTGTGGCTCCAGTTGGAGCCATTCCCACTTTGGGTCTCAATAGGTCATGAAATCCTAGGTAATAGGAACTGCTTGGGATTCTTCTCCCTCCCTCTCTCTCTGCCCCTACCTCACTTGTGCACATGTGCATGCTCTCTCTGTCTCAAAATAAATAAACTTAAAAAAATAAATAAAAATTTTTATTTTAAGTAACTTATAACACCTACCATGGGGCTCAAACTTACAACCCCGAGATCAAGAGTCACCTGCTCCACTGGCTGAGCCAGCCAGGAGCTTTTATGATTATTTTTTTTTAATGTCTGTTTGTTTTTGAGAGAGAGACAGAGAGAGAGTGCAAGCAGGGGAGGGACAGAGAGAGAGGGAGACACAGAATCTGAATGGGCTCCAGGTCTAGTTGTCAGCAATGAGCCCCACGTAGTTCGAATCAAACTGTGAGATCTGCTGACCTGAGCTGAAGTTGGGATGCTTAACTGACTGATCCTCTGTACAGCCCCAGGCATGCCTTATTTGACATTATTATCTATTCAGAGTTGCTGTTTTTTCTTTCTTCTTCTTTTTTTTTTAAGTTTATTTATCTTGAGAGAGAAAGCAGCAGCAGCATGGGGGGGGCGGGGCGGGGCAGAGAGAGAAGGAGAGAGAATTCCGCGAGGCTCCGCACCCTGAGTGCAGAGCCCAATGTAGGGCTCTATCTCTCCAACTGCAGGACCATGACCTGAGCCAAAATCAAGAGTCAGACACTTAACAGACTGAGCCACCCAGGCAACCCTGTTTTTTCTTTTTAGAATGATTTCATTGTTCTTTCTTTTTCTTTCCTTCCTTCCTTCCTTCCTTTCTTTCTCTTTCTTTCTTTCTCTTTCTTTCTCTCTCTCTCTCACTGTCAAATAAGTTTGTCTTCATTTTTTAGTAACTTTTTATTTTGAAGTAACGTAAGACTTACAGAAAAACTGCAGAAATAGTAGAAAGAATTCCTGTACACCTGGCATTCAGGTTCTGTAATTAACATTTTACCACATTTGACATTTGCTTTCTTATCCTTTCTCTCCATACACACACACACACACACACACACACACACACACACACACACTTTACTATCTTTCTCTGCAGCATGATTCCCCTTTACCCTAAACCCTTCCTACATTTATTACCTAGGGTCAAGGTCACTCTCTTATAAAACCACAGTGCACTGATCAAATTCAGGAAACTAACACTGAGATAATACTAGTAAAATAACCAGATCCTATTCGTATTTTGTCAGCTGTTCCACCGTTGTTTTTTCTAGCAAAAACCAAAGTTTTTTCTGGTCCAGGAGCACAGGTTACATTGGGTTGTTATGTTTATTTATTTAAAGCCAAAATTCCCCTTGTTCAACGTTTGAAGGGTATGGCAGGATATTCAGAGAGATGACTCTCCCACCCTTGTTTCCATCCATCAGTCCACCTCCTGGGCACAGCCTGGGTTACCAGTTTATTTATTTAGAGAGAGAAAGAGATAGAGCGAGCAGGGGAGGGGCAGAGGGAGGAAGACAGAATCCCAAGCAGGCTCCGTGCTGTCAGTGCAGAGCCCGACACCAGGCTCGAACCCACAAACCGTGAGATCGTGACCGGAGCCAAAATCAAGAGTCAGCAGCTTAACCACCTGAGCCACACAGGTGCCCCTAGAGTTCATCCATTTAAAGTGTACAATCCAGGGGCGCCTGGGTGGCTCAGTCGGTTGGGCGTCCGATTTCGGCTCAGGTCACGATCTGTCGGTCCGTGAGTTCGAGCCCCGCGTCGGGCTCTGGGCTGACAGCTCAGAGCCTGGAGCCTGTTTCAGATTCTGTGTCTCCCTCTCTCTCTGACCTTCCCCCATTCATGCTCTGTCTCTCTCTGTCTCAAAAATGAATAAACGTTAAAAAAAATTTTTTTTAAATAAAAATAAGGTGTACAATCCAGTGGTTTTTAGTATATTCACACACAGAGTGGTGCAGCCATCCCCACGATCTGTTTTACAGCATATTCATCACTCCCAGAAGAAACCCTGAATCCTATAGCTGTCACCCCTCAATGTCCTCCTCCCGCATCCCCTGGCAACCACGAATCTACTTCCTGTCTCTAAATCTGCCGTTCCGCGCCTTGCCCTGTGTGGTCCTTGGTGACTAGCTGCTTTTCCCCAGCATCACATGTACAGTGGCTTTCTGATAGGAGCCGAGTAGCTACTGGTTTTCCTTGGCGGTCCTCTGGCTTAACAGTTGAGACTGAGTGCCTCTTCCTGTGTGCATGGGCCTTGTGTGTTTGTTTGTAGGGCTCCATCGGCCTCCAGAGGACTGGAAGCCTGCCCCGGAAGAGGGGAGAGAGAGCGAGCCAGAGGGGATCCCCCCGACCTCTATCCCTCCACTGTACTGGTGAGGGTCTCCCCGCACCTCCCCCCCCCCCAT